TGTCACAGAAAAATATCCACCAGAAATTAAAATTAAATTTTTATGAGCGTTTGAAATTTAAATTTTTACAACATTGGATTTCACATTTACTGATTTTTTTATTTTGGCGTAACTCTAAAACAAATGACCGCAGATATTTGAAATTTTCACTAAATGTTTATATATGCATTTTCTATATTTGATACAATTTTCAAAATATTTTAATTTTTCAACTTTTTAATTTTATTTTTTCTATATAATATATATCTATAGAAATGTATTTGTTGGGTAGAAAAGCTTGACAATTAAATACAAAGCTCCTAACATATCGCTACAATAGCAGTTGAAAAATATTAAAAATACATAAGCACGATTTTTTTTTATAAGCATTTAAAGTTCAAATTTTGACTAAATACATAAAAATTACGGCAATGTTCAAATTATCTTAGATAGAAATTCATAAATGTTTTTCTTTTTAAAATTTAATACAAGGTTCCTAACATATTTTTACAATAGCAGTTGAAAAATAATAAAAATATATAGTCACAATTTTTTTTTTTAAAGAATTCAAAGTTTGAATATTGACAACATACGTAAAAATCACGAAAATTCGTAAATTATTTTATGCTAGAAATTCATAAAAAATTTTCCTTTTAAATCTAAGATTTGAAAATTTTTAATCCTAATTTTTATATATCCTATACAGATAAACCATCTCCACTCATAATCGTTTTTCGTATACAATGATATAATTATATCATTAGATTCAAATTTAATTCCATCCATTACAGTAATACCCACTAGTAACCTTCTACAGCAGAGCGACATCCGACTTACCCGCTTTTTGAAAATGAATGCATCCAAAATTAAAAATAATTTGTCGTTATCGTTGATTGCTATAAATGTATTGATAATTTATGTAAGTGTTTTATAAGTATACGTCATATGTTCTTATCACAATTTGCAATCTAGTTTATAGTTTATATCTGTGTTATATTCTGCAGACTTTTTAAAAGGCTACAGCATATTTTTTGGTTTCTCAACACATGATTTTTTTTAGATAAGCACATTTTTATAGTTACAATTATTGTTGATATCAATACCTAGGTATTTATTCTTCATAGTTACTGTACATAAGTTATGTATAGAATATTAGAATTATATTGTATTGTGTTGTTTTAAAATACGTTTAGAAACCAGGAATTTAGTACGCTTGCAGAGTGAGCTTATCTAACTAATTTGATTAAATTTACGTCACATGAAAAATACATAATATAATAAACATAACATATAATCACATAAAAATATAATTCTAAATAATCTTCGAGATCACCGTCGTTATAGGCGAATTCGTCACGAAGGCGTTACGAAATTCTAAGCATTATTAAAGCGCTAAGTAACTCATATAACTCTAGTCGCCGCAATAGGTAAGATAAAAATGTGACGAACCGCAATTGAAAACAATCATTGAGGGTGAACTGGTGAAGGGCGATACGCCACTACCTCCACAACTATAACCACTCTGTATATATGGAGATATAATATAATGTATATTGTATACCTATATTCTACACCTATATGTACTATAATACTTACGCTAAACGAACGATGATCGGCGGGGAGTACGTGACGCGGCACTCTGTATAGGTGCAGCATAATAATATAATATTATACACGTAAACGTAATGTATATATAATACGATACTCAGCGCAGCGTCTGCAGCTGCAGCCACAATAATAAGTGCATATATATGCATCGCTCGCGTATAATAGATTATTATTTGTAAGGCCGGCCCTTAAATATATAGGCCCGTTCGAAGATTGTATAGACCATAAAAATTACCATCATTTATATTTTATATTATGATATGGATCTGATCTGGAGTTGTATAAACGTGGAAAAATAATAAAAATTGCGAAAACAGAAAAATATGAGTTAGGTACATGATGCGTGGACGTATAGGCACCACCATAGGCCATATACCGAATACGCGTATCATCTGTTGTTAATATTATTATTAGTTATTACTATTATTCCTACCCATATTATTATTAAAACTATTATTCCTACTCATATTATTATTAATATAGTAAAAATAATAATAATATTATAATCTCTTTGTGTTGATTTCCTACATGTCGCGAGCACGCGTAGAAAGAGTTAATGACACGGTTTGTGTGTACAATATTATACTATATGCGCGCGCGCGAGCGATACAGACAAAAACAAAAGGGTACATTATAATAATAATATAATATATTATATTATATATAGGCATACCTAGCACACGCGAGACGCACTCAGCGCTCTCGGACCATTGTTTTTCGTCGTCCTCCTCACCACCATGCGCGCGCCAACATCGTATTGTTGTCGCGCGCCCGAATACCGTCTGGGCCGTACCCAAGGTCGATCGCGGTAAACTTTTATGGTGTTGATACTTGATTTTATTATATTATTATAATAATAATATTAATATTAGTAACAGAATAGTTGATGTGGAGACGAAGAAACCGTAATAATATTAAATTCATAAATATATAAAACATAATTATATTAAAATACGTTGCATTGACACTAAATATTATAATTATATTGTTGACACGGCATTCCTATCTATAGTTTGATCACTAAACGTACTATGCTTTTTTGCTATAACATACAACGGAAAAAGAAACGATGGTTCTCACTCGGGCAGAAGGTTCTGAGCGATAAAGAAACTTACATATTTTAAATAAGAATGAAAACCGTTGCAGCAGTTATCAATCATGGTAGGTATCGAGTTTTTTTTTTTTAAAAGAGTCGTGTATGCCTCATTCATAAGTTTAATATCAACGAATTCCCGTCCATCCACGTCTGTGTCGTATCTCTGATCGGTGACACTATGTCAACGAAAAAACCGGGGGTGCTAATTACCTACTCCCCAAACAGTTTTAAAATTGTACCTGTTTCCGATTTGGTACAGTGGTACATATATGATATAGTTTAATAATTACACGGAGCTGTTGTTTCCATGATTACATCGATGATACACTACCCGTGGGATCTACTCAAGTACAACATATATAATATAGATAACCATAAGATAATATTATTGTCTATTGATACAATATATTCAAAAAGAATCTAAGGAATAAGCATAGATTGTTCTTCATTATTCATTTCATCATCTATGAACGAGCATGGGATGATAAAAAAATACCATATGAGCCACTTTTAGACATGGTATGAATAATCCACTTAGTCAGAATAAATTTTGAATCTTCCACAAGAACATCCATAATATTATGTCTTACGTATACGCATTTGTTATTTCGATTGCGATGATAATAATATTATAATTTATATGTACCGTACTCGTCGCATTGGCATATATTATTCAAATCGCGGTTTTGAGAAATGGACTATGCAGTCTTTGCTCGTGATGTCAGGAATCCATCGTGTTTGATTGGAACCTGTCCAGTTGTAAGATAGAATTGTATAAAGTGACTACAATGGAGATGAATATACCCTGTCCAGAACGCATCAAGCCACGTAGGTATATTTTTAAGTATACATTTTTTAGTATACGTTTTTATAGCGCAGCCATGATATCATAAGAGTTTGCGAAATTGCRGGAATAATTATTTACCGATGTAAAAGATGTGTTTAGAACGGATACTGCAGGTGTACTAAGTACTCTTATAAGGGTGCTTAATTCACGAGACACCTATCTATTTATTCAGAAAAATGTAGGTAAATTATACTAATGGTTGATCGGACTGTCAATGTGTAGATCATCTGCAGCGAGTGTTGACCTTTGCTGTAAATTCGATTGAGTTTTATTTTTTGAACCRCGCTATGGATAACATTATGTATTTGTAACTTATTATTGTTCATAAGAAAATATCTAACAGCAGTTCTTATTAAAAATAACAATGTATAAAACAGTTACTTAATAATCATCTAGTAAGTAGTTTTGCGGTTTTAGCTGATTGATATTAATGATRTATCAAAAAATATGTAAAGGGACGTTAAAAAGTAAAATTCTATAAAAAGTATTTTTTATTTTCAGGGGATAGTTATATTTTAAAAAGTATTGCGCATAAGACATGGAGACTGAAGTTATACTCATAAGATATATTATATTAAGACTAAATTATTTCGGAATACTAGACTGCAAGTCTGTAGTAWTGGTAGGCTATAGTTATAATAACCGGGCCGGTCTTATGTAATCAGACTAATCGATAGTCACTTTAAACCTTTAAACTTTATCCACCCCTGTAGCCGGTAWAGGTAACTACCAAATACTGTATTTTGGTAAAATAAAACTATTTTGTTTTAATGACAGTATTAATGTTTTAATTTGCTTTTCTCCATGCTGTATATTAATATGTTCGGATTATTTTTTTTTGGACATTAATTATATATAATATTATATAATATAAGTATATTGTATAATAATAACACTGTTTACTGTATGTACTGAAACGTATCGTCAGACTCAGAATACCGTATAGGAAAAACGAAAATAAAATAAATACATATTTTAAAACAATAAAGGTTGAAAATATATATAGCGACTTTAAAGTATACAATAATATATTATACATAGTATATATAAGTATAATACACAAGTTAAAAATATTTTCTTTTTCTTCGAGTATACAAAAGAAGAAAAAAACACTTTCTAAAATCAATCGACGACATCGATTAAACAAAAAATACCTTTTCATTTATAGTTTATACATAGTCATGGAAAAACATAAACATATTACAGTATAAATGTGAATATTATAAAGTAAGTAGTATTACCTATATATTATATATTTTTATAGGTCAATAAATAAATGAGCTTGTGTTTTTGTGATTTATATTTTATGTACATATTACAAGATTACAAAAAAAAAAAAATATAATAATAATAATACGATTCCTTAAATAGTACATTTTTTTTTATAATTTACAAATGAGCTGTATATAATTTTTAATCTTCATATATTTCATATGCCTCATATATATGAGCATGTACATAAATAATATCTTCTATTTTATAAATTATATAAATTATTATGTAGTATACCTATATAGAATCTTTTTATCGTAACGAAAACAAAACGATTGGACAAAAAAAGATCTAAATTGTAAGAGATATTAACATTAAATAACATTTTTTCCCATAAATATAGACATTTTAACCGATTTATATTTTATGTGTACACAACGTGCGTTGGAAATTATTTCGCCAGAAGATTTCAATAAGCCCATTGTCTAGCTAGCATGAATACTTAATACGATATTATAGATCACAAAATAGGAATTAGGCATRCATTTTTTTTAAATGTAATTAAAACATAATATACCCGCTGCAGACCATAAATCTGATAACTCAAATTAATAAATTTATGCTGCAGACTATATTATTAAATTCATCACACGCAATACTACAATATTCATCGCGTTTTTGGTATAATCACAGACGACAATTATTATGGTATAATATGGAAAATCGGCCGCAGCAATCGCGTATATCATAAGTACCTAGGTATTGGTTATAAATCAGGATAGTTTGGTGTCAGTCAAACGGACGCAAAATCAATCGATCCCTCGGGGACTTTTGGACCCGAAGGTTTGAAGGTATATATACCTATGTATAATAATCATCTGAACGTGGGGAGAAAGACTCGTATACAGTGCAAAGAAGACACCGGTCATGACGTATATGATGCCTGAAGAAATTAAGATGTGTCTGCAGTGTATAATGACAATATGGTTATGTTAAATAGTACCTAGGTATATAATGTATCAATTACAACGTGGTGATCGCTTATTCACTTTCGTATTTTTTTTTCGTTTATTTTAATTTTATGTCAAGTAACTTATACCTTGGAAAACGGGCGGCTCACGGTCTGCTAACATGCCGTTACAGCTGAGTGAGGCCGTACTCGCCGGCGCCGACTCCGATGGCCAAACCTTGTTGCTGTAGGTGTTGGGACAGGTGCGGTGGCCCGCGGTGGTTCAGACAGTGCTGTAACTGTTGCTGTTGCTGCTGTTGGAGTTGTTGTTGTTGCTGTTGATGAAGCTGTTGCTGCATGGCTGCGGCCGGATTGTTGTGTCCAGCGATCGACGCAGCTGCGACCGACGATGACGAAGACGAAGACGTCGACGACGACGGAATTATGGCGGCCATTATCGACGTCGACCCGGCGTCGTTTTGTTGTTGTAACCTCAACTCGGGTTGTTGTTGCGGCGACATGTCGTGCGAATCAATTTTCAACCCGGACGGCGAGCATAGTGGCTGCTGATGGTTGTTGTTATTGTTGTTGCTATTGTTGTTGTTGTTGTTGTTGTTGTTTTTGGCTCGGGACTTTTTACCTGCCGGTTGCGTGTTTCCGTTTTTCCGACGCACGTTTTTCGTGTTGGGCAGATGGTTGTCCTTCTTGTACTTCATTCGCCGGTTCTGGAACCATATCTTGATCTGTCGTTCAGACAGCACCAACGAATGGGCGATCTCGATCCTCCGTCTCCGGGTCAGGTACTTGTTGAAGTGGAACTCCTTCTCCAGCTCCAGCACCTGGTACCGAGTGTAAGCGGTCCGTTGTCTCTTCACGTCCACCGGTTGATACGCGCCGTTCGCTGAAATCAGAAAAAAAAACATAAGTTTTACACACCATCAAAAACGATTACCTATACGTTTAGGTATATATATATTAACTGGAATACGAACAACACGTATATCATTATATAAACTTGAAAAAATACCTTTAAAATAAGCTTTAAAAAAAGATCGGCAGTCGATATGTTGTGGGAATATACATAGTAATAAACACAATAGAATGTATGTTATGCAGGTTTTTAAAAACACTTTTTTATAAAATATATCTTGTGCATACCAGTTTTTATGGTATATTATATTATTATAATACTTACGGTTACACCAAACATATTTTATTGTTATGTGACAAGTGTAATTGATGGGTATAGTAAATAGGAGATTGGGTGGTAACAATTCTATTCAAATGACGACTGTTTACATGTAGGTACCTATATATAACTTATAGGAATTTAATGTGCGCAGAATTCGGCACAATACATTATAAGATATATAATATTATGTATAGGTAATTGGCGATAATATTATTATAATATAAGGATGTAATAATTTATTTTAAGCGAGTATGAGCGACATTGCAGGTTAGGTACGGATATTTGTATAGTTGATCCGGAAATATAAGCTTTTACATTATTACTACGTAATAATAGAATAATAATAGAACAGACTAATTTCCTTGTTAAATTATCAAAAATAATAATGTATATAAGAAATTAGTGCCGAAAACTGTTTGGCTCAAGTCTCGCACAAACCAGAATACATGTCCTATACGCGACTTCCATGAGAGATACCTATATAAAATAAAAAATAAACAGTCAATACCTATTTAACTTTACTTAATTATATTTTAACAAACGAAATAGGCAGTTACTTATTTCTTTTTTTTGTGTATCTACAGAAAATAATTAATGTGAACAATGTTCCTGTTTTTCCCGTCTAAGTCTAAAAGTTTAAAAATTAAAGTCAAATGCAGAAATCTCATGGCCTAAACGGTTCATGGATACCATATATATATCAATCATCAACTGTTGATTGTTTTACGCATATTATGTTTAGTAACTCTTTGATCGCGCAAGATGCGAGAATATGAATATTTATGATTGAATATTGGTACACACTCTCATAATATATTATAATACGCAGATACACCTATACATATTCAAGCATGATAATATTATTGCGCGGCGGCGTCTTTCTGCGCCCAAACATTTAATTTCGAAATATTTTTCCCATTATTACTATCATTATGATTATTATTGAAATGCCGGAGCCATGTTCGATCCGTGGACAAGGGCGTGGTGGTTACGGCGGCGGCGGCGGTCCTTAAATGGGGGAACGTTGCCGGAGCAGTCTGCGCGTAGTACGATAGTAATAATAATAATAATAATATAATATGCCGCCGCTGTCTCGGGTGCGTTTGTCGACGTTGCCGGGTCACCCGACGACGAATAGCTGCTTCTGCTGCCGTTATATTATTATTCTATCTATATGGTATGTGTTTATGCGGTATGTGTGTGTATTGATATTATTATTATTATTATTATTATTATTACTACCTTTATGCTTTATTGTACACAATCTAAGTATTACACGAGTGCGTGCGCGCTTGTGTGTGTTTGTTGTTCGACATCAACTTTTCATTACACAAAAAACATACTAGGTATACAGTTATATATATATATATATATATATAAGGAACGCACTTCAGTGATGACGACGGCCTTGCAGCTCGTTAAGATCGTGTGCTAGTTTGTGCAGAGCGTGTGTGTGTTGTTGAGCGCAAAACACTTCTATATAGACGAGAAGAAAAAAAATCACATCTATATAATATTATTTTATTATTTTATCCACAGCCTTATAGAGGCCGCCGTCGCAGTCACCATAAAATATTGACTGTTGCGTAACGATATAGCCGATATAGGCGTATTAGGATAAAACGGATAAATATATTATGATATATATACTTATAAATATAGGATAGGTAATTTAATAGTAACAGCTATTATAATAAATGCAAAACGTGTTGTATTATTATTATTATTATTATTATCATTATTATGAATGTACGATTACACATTTATATTTCCCAATTATAGGCATAATAGGTATTATAGGTATAATTATAAGACTGATGAGATTTTAGTTTCTCGGACGCAGTTTGTAGGTCTGTCTAAACATTTTAGAAATAGATTTTTCAAAATAAAAATGCAATCTTAAGTTTTTAAATTTTAACTACAATAATTATATATAAAATTATATTATTATATTAATCTTCGGAGATTGCACAACATGATATTATTGATCACTAGCTTATAATTTCTATATATATATATATATTTATACACGAAATAAAAGTTTTTAAATAAAGTGGTTATTACACACTGTATTGTTGGTCATGATAAAGGTACCTAAAGACTTAAACATTTCAAAAACCAAACTCAAGCAATCACGATTAAAAATAAGTGGTAGTGAAAAATGGCTGTGAATTTTAGGTTTTTTCATACACAGTTGAATATACCTAACGACTTAAAATATTATCATCACTATATACAGCAGTTTGTTTGAACGGTGATCGAGTACAATTTTTGATGCTCAAAATTTGATTACCGGCTATTGATTAAACGTCAGCCGGTTGTTGTATAAAATATATACTCTGTCGAAAAATTAATAAAAAAAACTTAAACAATAATAATGTAATAAAATTACCCTCCCGGCCTCTCTGGGCACGTTTATAAAACTTTTTCGAATAACGTCCTCCAACTATTACGATTCGGCTTGTATAACATTTAATCTCTGCACATTTTGTAAACTACTGCTTAAGTACTTTCTAAGTATTTCTTTAAACAGGGTAGGTACAGTTTCGTGGTGCAAACACATGTAGGTACCTATATATAAATAATATTTACCTAATCTATAAAATAATAAATAATAATATTACACATCCGAAAAWAAAAATTTAATTTTTTACTTATAAAATAAACGGATACCTACACGAAATTAAAGTATGAAAATCACAATGTTTATATAGGTACATAGTGTATACTTGATGACTTCTTTCATCTTTAGCCGTGATGATGAAATACAGTGAATAACGATTCAACGATGTTCAAATTAAATAATATGATATTAATCAAAAATAAAAATAAATAATAGGTCGTATTGATAAAAAAATGACCATTGATAATACAATAATATTTTAGCATTTTAACGTGTGCACGGAGCGGACGGGACTCGTCTACGAGGACCTATCACCTATCTTTTTCATAATTTACGGTAAAACAGCCGGCGAGCCGTGTGTGCGTATTATGTTGCGTGTATGCGATAATGTCTGCAGGCAGCGGCAAGCGSAGCGAGGACGATGATGACCACCGGTGGTCGTTGCAGTGCGCGATGTGACGTGTGTGCGTGTTTATACTTAATAATAATAATAATATACCTTCGGCGGGTACAAATGAGCTTGCAGGCCGTGTCGTTGCATCAGTATACGTACAATAATAATATTGCTGTGCGTATATAAACACCACACACACACACATTCACGCATATGTGTTCACCCTGCACCTATATAATATTACCTACACGAGAGCGTTTGTATGTATATATCAATAGCGGTCTAAAGATGTTCAAATTAGCAATGAATAGAGCTCATCGTCTACAACGCAGTTCTCGATGCGCGGTACATATATATATATATATATAATATATAATGGGTACGCATACATCATCCATATATACGTATAATACATAATACAACGACATGTGCACACACTTAGATGTCTATACATATATATATATATGTTATATACCTACCTGCTGTACACGTAATTTACGTGACCTCTGTAATGGGTGTTTTGGATGTATATAAACGCGCTGGTGTGACGGTGTGGGTATAATAATATGTATAAATGTATACACGCGATCATTAAAGGGCACAATGAGACCGCCCTGTCGAACGCGATATTAATCTCGCGCGGGCTGCAGCGGCGGTCCGGGCGCGTTCGCCGGGTGAGGTCGCGCCGCGGTCCGAAAATTATAAATCGCCTGCCATTGTCGTTGGCGCGTTTTACACGCTCTTCCGCGCCGCCCAAGTGGATCCCGAGACGACACACTGCACCGCACACGCATGAAACGCGCGCGAGCCGAGTGTGTGGCCATTATCGTTTATATACACGCGTGTAGGTATATGGTATCACATACAGGTACCCATGTGTATAGTAATAATAATATATAATTTATATGCGTCCCCGTTTGTATTATATAATAATAATAATAATAATATATACATATATATAGTACTGTGTATATCGCATTATACACGTGTGTGTGTGTGATCGTCGGCTATAAAGTACCTACTTAACATCGCCGCACAAGCACACGACACCCGTGTATAGTCATATCGAATATACGAAACTTCCCCTCTTGCTGTCGATGATTTGAAGCCGTTTAATATGATACAATTTCATAATATACATAAGTATTGTATATTGTGTATAATATTATACATAATACGCGTTATTAATAACGGCGTKTTCTTGTACATATTATTATTATTATGATTTTGATTGTGATATACTGCGCTGCACGGGAGGGTCACGGACAATGTATAATAGTAGTATATAGTACCTATACACGATATGTGTGCCGCACAACGATGTTTATGGGGATTCGACGCCAGAGCGTGGTGTTGTGTAAAAAAATTAATGTACACCGAAGGACACACCGAGACGACGACGACTATTATTAAACGCCGTTTCTCGGACGTGATTGATTCGCGTACATTATCATAATATTATATATATATATATATATGTTTGTGTATAGGTAGATTATTATATATCATTGAATTGCGTGCGATTTAGCGATTTATGTCCTTCTTTGGGTCTCTTATACATATTATATTATTATCATCATTATCGTATAATAGGTACCTATATATTATGTWAAATGTATATAGCAATAATATATAATACTCATATGTATAGGTACAMGAGTCGCGCAACCACAACCGTATTGTGACTATATA